CTCTGGGGTGACACCTGCCTGCAGGGCTACGTACTTGTTCTGCTCTGAGGATTACGTTTCTGTGAACTTGAGGGCACATTAAGACCACAACAGTCTCTTAGTTTGTTTGGGCTGCCTATAACAACAGAGATTTATTGTTCATAGCTCTGGAGGTTCTGAGTGAAAAGGGCCATTTTTATAGAGGATGTCTTCCCACTGTGTCCCTCTCACTAGGATCTTTTAGGCCACTTATCCCATTTAGGGAGGTCCTGCCCCAGAACTGCATCACCTCCCAAGCAACCTACCTCCTAATCTTAGGGGTTAAGATTTCAACATATAAATTTGGAGGGAACAGGTGTTCAGGTCCCAGCAAGAGTGTATCAAACAGCATGAAAAGCAGTACTGAGAGAGAGAGGACATTTATCCACATAGGATAAACCTGGGTCTGTTACCTTAGCCTGAGCTGCCATGGGGAATACTAGATGAGACCACTTTAATAGAGATTTATTTCTCACGGTTCTGTGGACTGGGAGTCTAGAGTCAAAGTTCCTGGCAGGGCTGGCTTCATGCATTGCAAACAGCACACCTTCTATCAGCTCACATGACAGAGAGGACCAATGCTCTCCCTTTGTCTTGTTACAGGCTCTGACCCTTCATGCTTTGCTCAGATTCACCATCCTCCAGAAGGCCCCTTGTCTACACTCAGTTTCTGGGAATGGAGCTTCATTCCGGATTCTTGGAATGGGCTTGGAATCTTTAACACACATTCTCTATATTAAGAGAAACTCCAAAAGGACTGTAGATTTAAATATGAGTCAAGAGAGTGTGGTGACATGTGCCTGCAATTCCAGCAGCACTCTGGAGGCTGGGGGGAAGATCAAGATTTCAAGGCCAGCCAAGGCTACATAGTAAGAACCTGTCTGGGGCTGGAGAGGTGGCTCAGGCTGCACAGGCTGCTCTTCCTGAGGTCCTGAGTTCAATTCCCAGTAACCACATGGTAGCTCACAGCCATCTGTAATGAGATCTGGTGTCCTCTTCTGTCCTGCAGGTATACATAGAGGCAGAACACTGTATACATAATAAGGAAATAAATCTTTAAAATAAAAGACCCTGTCTCAAAAAAAAAAAAAAAACCATAGTCAAGCATGGTGGTATAGACCTCTACTCCCACTACTGGGGAGGCAGAGGGATATCTGTGTGTCAAGGCCAGCCTGGTCTACAGAGCTAGTTCCAGGATAGCTAAGGCTATTACACAGAGAAACCCTGCCTCAAAACACACACACACACACACACACACACACACACACACACACACACACACACATACACACACACCATAAAAACAAAAAACAAACATATATAGCATGGCCCAAAAAATAAACAAAGCAAAAGCAAATATAAGTAGAAAAAATAACTGCAATTTACATCACAAAAGCTTATATGCAAATAAACTCTAAAACTAAGAAAAATGAAAATAGATAAGCAATAAGAAAAAAGTTTTTAGAAGACATTAAGACGTCCACAGAAGAGCTTTTGGCCTGGAAAAGGTTGTTAACTTCATTAATAATAGATAAATGCAAATCAAGCTTGCCCTCTAATACTGTTTCTCAACTCTGAGGTTGGTGAGGAGCCCAAACGTCATGGGTAGTGCTCTGGGGAAAGGGCCACCATCTTGCCGTGTGAAAGGCTCAGGCCCATGGGGAAACTGAGCAATACCTCATAAAATTGCACACGTTTATCCTTTACCCTAGCAGTCCCAATTCCAGATACACTGGCAAATACACAAAGACAGATTGCAAAAGATGTTAATTGCAGCTTTTTTGTAATGGCAGAATTGGATCCAATTCAAATATCCTTCAATGGGCAGCTGAGTAAGTAGGGTTCTTTACACATAAGGACTATTATATGATTGTATAAAAGTAAGAAACTTCTCCACAGGCTACTGTGCAGTTATTTCTGGAATGTAGTGTGTTGTAGTTTGGGTATGGTTTAATGTTTCGTAAAGCTTTATGTGCTGAAATTTAAGCCCCTTCATGAGGCACGTACATCATGAGGGTAAAAACTTGATCCACTATGATGGTTTAGGGGTGAAGCTTGTGGGAGCAACTTGGAATTAGACAGTGCCATTGAGTCCCATGGGTGAATCCTGGTAGCTTAATAAAAACATAGAGATGGTTGCAGCTTGTCTCCAGCCTAGCATGAATGAATACTTGATTTCTTCTCTATATGTAAGTAGATGATGATAAACAGATGATAGATAGATAGATAGATAGATAGATAGATAGATAGATAGATAGACAGATAGATGATAGATGTGTGTGCATGCACACATGTGCATACATGAATTTCATCTCTCCCCACATGATACTCTGCATCTTCTGGGTTTGACTGGTGGGGATACCATAAACAAAACTTGCTGTGTAGACCAGACTGGCCTAGAATCTGCCTCTGCCCACCCCCCCCCCCCCCCCCAGTACTAGAGTAATGGTGTGCTTCACCATGCCTGGCTTTCTATAAGTTTTGAAACATCAAATAAAATAGTGAGCTGATTAAAGTTCATTCATAGTGAGCAGAAAAATGTACTAGAACAAAAGATGGACATGTACTGTGGGATGGAGGTAGGGGCACAAAAGTAACCTTTTTGTTTTAAAATAGCATCAAGTTTGGGGAACTATCTTAGAATTAATACAAAACACCCTCATAGATCTCTGTTCATGTCTCCATCTCTATGTCTATGTGGTTAATCTTGATTGCCAACTTGATCGGGTTTGGAATCACCCTGGAAACAAATGTCCAGGCATATCTGTGAGAGAGTTTCTAGACTTGGTTAATTGAGGTTGGGAGACCTAGCCTTAATGTGGTCAGCACCATTCATTCCATGGGCAGAGAGGTGCTGGACTTTATGGCTGTGGATGCAATGTGGCCAGCTTCTTCAAGTTCTTGTAACCATCCCTTCTCCATCGTGATGACCGTACACTCCACTGTGAGCCTAAAGAAACACTGCCCCCCTCACTCCCTCCCTCCCTCCTTCCCTCCCTCCCTCCCTCCTTCCCTCTCTCCCTCCCTTCCTTCCTTAGGTTGGCTTTTCTCAGGTATTTTGTTCTAGAAACATGTAAAGTAACTAATAAACTCTCTCTAATTCTATGACACACACACACAGAGAGAGAGAGAGAGAGAGAAGCAATTTAAGAGAGTACAGTATACATTTTGTCCCTCATATCTCACTGTGTAGTTTCCAAGGATGAAAACATTCTCTTTCGTAACACAAAACCATTGCCTTTAGCCTTCATACCACTTGGAGTAGTTTAATTTCCTAATTTATGGGTGCGAGGACATGAACTGTTTACTCTTTTTTTTTTTTTTGAGACAGTGTTTCTCTGTGTAGACCTAGCTGTCCTGGAACTAGCTCTTGTAGACCAGGCTGGCCTTGAACTCACAAGATCCACCTGCCTCTGCTGGGATTAAATGTGTGCACCATCACCACCCAGTGACATGAACGCTTTAAAGATATGGTATACTTGTTTCATAGAATCCTCAGTTTGGGTTTTCCTAGTGTCTCTTTGTAAATTAATGCAGTCCCCACAGTCCCGAATGAAGAAAACAAAATACCACACCCATCTCACTATGGAGATACAGACACACTATGGACACCTGTATCCCACTAGCAATGACAATACTGACCCATGGTCAAGGATGCACCCAGTTCCCCAGAACCTAGACCTAGAGACAACCTTTGAAGACCTCCTAGGCATTGCCTGCTAGACTGCAGAGCTGCTGGCATGTCTCCCTTCCAAATTCGGTGCTGTGTTTCACATTTGGGAATCTGCATCTCATGTCTTTAACAAACAAAAGAGGTACCATATAGTATAGTGTGTCCAGGTCCCTCAGTCAACTCAGGCTGTATCTCAAACCTTCAGATTATCAGCTGACAGGTCCTAGAGTCAACAATCTGTCATCAGGTATCTAGAACATAAAGGATTCTTTTTACTGAAAATAAGAATGTGCATAGATCTCATGAATATAATCTGTTACTATTTAAAAGAATTGTTCCCTTTAGGTATGCATTCCTGTAGATGGAAATTTCTGTCCCACCTGGTCCTGAAGCCCCTTAACTCCCAAATAAACACAGAGGCTTATATTAATTATAAACTGTTTGGCCAATGCCTTGGGCTTCTTACTGGCTAGTCCTCTCTTAATTATTAACCCATTTCTATTAATCTATGTATTACTAAGAGGCTGTGGCTTACCTGTAATGCTCTGGAATGTTACTCCTTTAGTGGCTACACGGTGTCTCTCTCAGGATTCTGTGTTCTCTTCCCAGAATTCTCCTCATACAGTAACACCTCCTATACTTCCTGCCTGGCTACTGGGCAGTCAGTGTTTATTCACCAACCAATAAGAGAAACATATATTCACAGCATACAGAAGGATATCCCCCATCACATTTCCTAACAGGGAGCTCTCGGGAGTTGCTTTGTAGTCAGTCCTGGTATATGGTACTTCCTGAGCACATTGATGAGGGCTCAGACAGTCCTGCAAGATAGACTCAGGGCATGCCCTACATCCATGTGATTCTCTATCCCACAGCAAAACACAGGCTCACTTCCGAGGGCTCCCTGGTCCCTCACCAGGGTTGCTGAGATCCAGTCAAATCATGAGCCTCAGTGAGAACTTCCTGCCAGGATCTATTTGGAATCTTTGGTACAAGGTCCTAATGGGGATGTCACAGAAGCTGTTCAAAATGCCCCATGAGCCTTATTGCCCACTCTGTGCTGCAGGTCCAGAATGCCCAGCCACTAGTGGACACCCACCCACCACAGACTTACGGCCACCTCCACCTAAAGCTCAAGAAGCTGAAGGTACGTGCTACCTCCTCTTCTAACCACATTCCCAGCTTACAAGATGATGTCAGCTCAGACCATCTGGACCATGACTGGACAAGCTCTTCAGCCTTGTCAAAACCAAGGTGTCACCTAAGAGGTCAAATGACCCCACAACAATGGAACTGGTTGGTGACTGTCTCAGAACCTCCCCTGATATTGCCCAGTAATGGCACAGACACAGACAGATAACTTTAGGGCAATTTGTACAGTGAAGCTCCAGATAATTAATTAGCATCATTCCTTTAAATTTTTTGATCACTTCTGGATTTGTATTTCTTGAAGTGTAGGCCATGGGTGAGAGTGACCCATACACACTCATGCATGCAGCAATGCCCCCAAGGCAAACTGAAAGTGATAATGTTGATCTGCTGAACACAGCTGAAGAACGACTGAGCAAACCAGTGAGCCCAGTCTCTTTAAAACCTGAAAGCAGGCCTTAGTGGTCCCACCACTCATGTGGCAAGATGGGAGGAAAGATAGGAAGGTCCCCAGAAGCTTGTGGGCCAAGAAATATGGCCTATTGAACAGCATCTCAAACAAAATAGACCATGAAGGTAGACAACTGAGGTTGTCCTCTGACCTCCACAGGCATGCTAAGGCACGTGAACACACACACACGGTGCAGGAGGCTATAGCAATAATGGCTTCTTCCCTCTGGAATTAAGTATACACTTTTAGCAGTGTAACATATCTCCTGAGATAATTCCCTCACTAGCATGGCCCCCATGTGACAATTTAACAGATGACTTAAATGCATGAGATAACACAGCTCCTTGCTGCTGAAGCCCCATCCCAGTGTATTCCAACCAAAGATGGAATAGTCATCCTGCTCTTGTCCCAGTGCCTAGGATTATGGTGCACCCTGCTAGCTGCTACTGACACCTCAAGGGAACCTACAGAGTGTGACTTTGAAAAAGTATGTCTGGAGGAACCTTGTGCTATTGTGGGACCCCTGTGTCCACAGATGGAGGAAGAAAGACTCTCCGTCATCGACAGAGAAAACATCCTACTTCTGCGGAGGGTAGCCTCTGCCATGACAACGAGGGGACAGACTGACAGCAGCAATAACTTCACACACAGAAGGTAACAGTAGGGCTCTTAACATTTGCCTTGCCAGCTCCAGGTTAGGGGGCAGGGCATAGTGACAGGCATTCTTTCCTATCATAAGAACCAAATTAAAAAATGGCCACATGCTCCTGACTCCAAACCCTCCTTGAGGTTCTGAGGCATACAAAGGCATAAGAATCCACCTAGAGTGACATCTGCCCAATGCCTTCTGTGTGCCAGGCACTGCTCACAGAACCATCCCAACCACCATCCGCACAAGGACCAGCAAAGTAGAGGCTGCAGAGCTTCTCGTTTCATAGTGGGGAAACTGAGGTACAGTGAAGCTGCACAACTTGGCCAAAATTGCCATCACCCTGTGGAGGGTGCAGGGTATGTCCAAGTCACAGAGCACTCCATAGTCTTGCAGTATCAGATCCTTGCTTGGGAGACAGCAAAGAGCTCAGATCTGAAGCCTGGGTGAGAGCATGGCTGTCCCCTTTATGCCTGCATTGTTCTCTGAAACCTGTGGTTTTTTCCAGCTTAGAATTCTGCTTCCCAAGAGGATGAAGGGCAGTTCCATGTTCCATAAAAACACCCTGTGAACATGTGTTTAGATTAAAGTCTCTTTATTCAAGAAGACACCAAGGCAAAACACAGGCCAGAGCTTGGTTATAGAACCCAGCAAGCGTGGCCAGAACAAAAGGGGCCTGGGTCCCCACGTGCAACCCCTTAAGAAGCTCCCTTACGTCACCCCGGCTTTCCTTCACCATGCCCTTATGGGCGAGTCCCGGGTCCACCTGGTACCTGTCCCAGGACTATTGGGCGGGGCTAGGGTGTCTCCCTACAAACATGCTCATGAGTCCTTTGTCCTCCCTTCTGCAAAAGAGTGGTGTTCCATCCTTGGTAGCCATATACCTTACGAGACCTCTGTAGTCTCCCCCTTTGAGACTACAGAGTTGTGCTGGTGACTGTATGGGGCCACAGTGATGCAGGCTTTCCTGCAGATGCACATGGACTCTTGAGCCCTTTAGAGCAGTTTCCAGACTAAACCACAGGCAAGCACCAGACACCCAAGCCACCAACTCAGGAAGGAGAGAGAGGTGTTGTGAACAGGGCCACTCATCTAGGGGATCCTGTCTGTTTCAAGGACACAGAAAATTACTTGATTTAGATAGTATAAATACAGAAAGAAGTTTGCTAGCTTCTTAGAAAGATGCAAAAGCCAACACTTTGAGAGAAACTACAGACAATAACACAGATTTACTCCTGACAACTCTTCTATCCTCGTTGAGATACATTTAGCACTTGGTAAACAATATCTTACAGTGAAGGTATACGGTTTAATGGGTTTGATATGTCACACACTGAAACCATCTCTGCAGTGAAGATGGTACCTACAGCCCTTGCTCCCAACTCTTCTGGTGCCACTCAGGAATCCTCACAACAGCCAGGCCATGGAGGTTGCATGGAATATGGTTGGTTCTGTTACTGTATGCCTGTTCTGCAGAATGACATTGGTTTATTTTGTTGTTGTTGTTGTTGCTTGATTTTCAAAGACAGGGTCTCTATATAGCCCTGGCTATACCCCTAGGTGCGGGAATTAAAAGTGTACGCCACCATGCCTGGCTAGATTGACATTGTTGAGGACACTGTTGGGTCATTCTTGGGCTGCTAAGTGGCATCCTCTCCTTTGACCATACTCTGTTCATTCACCTATTCATGAGCATTGTTGGGTTGTTTAGGTTGTTACTAATAAGGTTACAATGATCATTTATGTTGTTTTTTTTTTAAAAATGACAACTTATACCTGTGTCTGCAGAGACTAACAACTCAATAGAAAATAGAGAATTAAATTAAGCCACCCAGAGAGGGGTCCCCTGAAGGAAAAGGAGGGACTCTTGACCATGCACTCCAGTAAAATGGATGGCAAGAATTAAACAAACAACAAAAGTCAACCGTTTAAAGCAGAGGTTCTCAACCTGTGGGTCACAACCCCTTTAGGGCTGAAGGACCTGTTCACAGGGATCACATAACAAATATCCTGCAGATATAAATATAATATAAATCTGATATTTACATTATGATTCATAAAGTAGCAAAATTACATTTGTGAAGTAGCAATGAAATAATTTCGTAGTTGGGATCACCACAGCATGGGAAATGTATTAAAGGGTCAGCATTAGGAAGATTGAAAATCACTGATATAAATTGTCCTGAGGACATATAACACATGAAGACACATTTAGTCGAGAATATCTTATCTCAACAAGGGAGAAAGCTACAGTATTTGAACTGTGCCCCACCCTAAGCTAGTTCACACCAGACCCACCTTGGAAGTTTTGTTGGAGCCGAGGTTGGGTCTACCCCACACCGATCTCTCTAAAATATACACCTGTTCCTCGTTTGAAGCATTTAGCATTTTCAAAAGAGGCTAGACTCCTCATTACCTTGGGCTGCCATGCTTTTCCACATGGCTGCTGGGCCTTCCTCCCCTTCTTACTGTCAACCTTCTTTCAAGGTTCTGTTCAGCCTCCTGGCTGCCACCACTCTCCCTTAGTGGTGTGACATCTTTACTTTGTGAGCTCAGTGCCCACTGCCCCAGTGGACAGAAAGCATCCTGGGATGGAGAGGGATGGTTTGTTGAATGTTTCTCAACGGGAAGCAAATGAGAGCCCTTGACATTACCCAGAGCCTACCAGGCCTGATGATACATGGGCTCCTTTTGTGAGTGTGGAGTGAGCTTTCTGTTCCATAACTCTTGGGTGATGAAAGATTGTGTGTCTTCCTTTCCGGAGTCTAAACAGGAGGACTAGAGAACAGAAGTATATGAAAGCACAGAAACAAAACAAAGTCATCCTGGAAAGACTCCAAAGCTCAGAGCCCTGGTGTGGAGCCCAGAGATGGTGGGAGGATGGGGCTGCCGTGGCCAGATGTCCCCACAAATGCAGACACACCTGGAGAAAAGGTAGCCGAGGTTCTTGTTGTAAGTATACAGCAATCTAATCCCTGACTTCATCAGACTCATCTGACATAGATTCACTGAGAACTGTCCAGTGCCTTCCGTACACTTATCGGTGAATAGATGTCTCAAGTCACAAAGATGTAGTGAAGCCTGAGCCACTCTCCCCCAGGGAACTAACCCATCTCTCTTCCCAAATACACAAGGAGATAAAAATGAGTTCAGCTGATTGGTTATAGGCTGGGGAGAGTTGGGTGAAAATATAACTTGACCGGATAGTATACTTCAAAACTCCTATGTGACTACAATGACTTCCTGAATTAGCTGTTCTACACAGAATCCAGGACAAAATAAAACCACAACCTGGAAGAATTTGCTAGAAAAATTAGACTCTAAACCCTTCGTCTTTGTCTAACCCAAATCACTGGCAAGTTCATAATTCTGAATGAAGAGCAATCTAATTCTGTCATCATTATTATTGCAAATATCTCAATGAATCAAAGTAATTGGGGGGTCTTACACCTTCACTCACTGTCCTTATCCATGATGCTGTTTTCAAAATCAAGTCTATTCTAGGGAAATGTGTAGATATCAAATTAATAATAAGTAATCCAGGACATAAAGCCTGCCCTGATCAAGCACCAACCCAAAGATTCCATTCCCCAGACCCCATCCCTGTGACACCTGGTCCCTGCTGTCCACATAGGCACTAAACTTGGCTCCTATTATTTCTGATCATATGACCTTCCTATTATTTGCCTGGACATTTCTTCTAAATTCCTGAGGTGTCAGGACATTACAAGTATTGCAAAGACATACAATAAGAAGCAGTTATAATAAGTAGCAAAACACCAGAGAAATTTAGTTTGCTTTATAATTTACATAGAAAACTTGAACATTTTGTTCCAAATCTTGATTTTAAATTCAGAGCATTGGCATTTGCTAGTGTAGAAAATAAGACATTAGCAGCATGGGATGATTGATTATTAAGCAGTGTCCCTTCTCAGACATCCTAGAAGTGATCACTGGAGCCATCTGTGCATATTTTTATTTATTATGTGTATATATTTGTTCATGCAGACATGCTTTCTGTGAACTGCCCATTTCAGTCAATCACATTTCTGAGAACTCATTCAATGCCAGCACATAATGGTCTTTTCTATCCCCCTGCTTAGCAGTTAGTATTTTTGTACATATATACCTTAATTTATTTATACAGTCCCCAAGTTATAAAAGATCTGATTCTTTTCATTATTCTAAGTGAAACTGTGATAACACCGTAGTGCATGTGTATCTGTAAGTTTCATTTCCAGATTAAAACTGTTCAGTTGAGGGGCTGGAGAGATGGCTCAGAGGTTAAGAGCACTGGCTGCTCTTCCAGAGGTCCTGAGTTCAATTCCCAGCAACCACATGGTGGCTCACAACCATCTATTATGAGATCTGGTGCCCTCTTCTGGTGTGCAGACATACATGGAAGCAGAATGTTGTATACATAAAAAAATAAAATCTTTTAAAAAAACCTGTTCAGTTGAAAGATGGGCCCAGTAGACATCACTAACTTACTGTCTAGAACATTCTAGGGGCTATCCTCCATTCTGGGGACAGAGCATTGTTTCTTTCCTACTCTAGCTGACAATGAATAGTAGAGGTAGTTTAAAATTTTCGGACTATGAATTTCTGTCCATATCCTTTCATCCAGTTCCCCTGGATATTTCTTTAAGTTATTATCAATATTTCAGTACTTATCTTTTTTCTAGTGTTATTGTCATAAGTATTCCCTGTTCCATACTGAACATTTCCCCTAGGCTTATATTTTAGTAATAAAACCGGCCAAGTTTTTCTCTATGGCTTCTCTTTAGTGTTCTAAGACTGTGACAGTGTCCTCCCATATGTTTTGTTTTGTTTTTGTTTTTGTTCATTTGTTTGTTTGTTTTCGAGACAGGATTTCTCTGTCTTTGCTAGCCTGGAACTCACTCTGTCGACCAGGCTGGCCTCAAACTCACAGAAATCCATCCACCTGCCTCTGCCTCCAGAGTGCTAGGATTAAAGACATACACCATTACCACCAGGCTCCCTTATTT